GTCGTACATTAATTTAGAGAGCTCGGCTTTTCGACGTGATTGCTTATCGAGTAAGAACATTTTCGGTGTGCGTATTAACGAGACGAGGGATCTTCGGTGCGAGACGAGTACGTAGGCAACGCCAATTAAGGAGGACGGCGAGGTTGTGAGCACCGGGATATAGCTAAGGTCTAGCGACTCCCGATGATGTATGTGGTGGAAAATACTGGAAGGCAATCTGTCACGCCATCGACGTCCCACAGGCAGGTGCCTCTACTGTTCTCCAGTCTTCTTCGCTCCTCTCCTTTGCGACTAAAAACGTATGAGTATCATAATACGAGTAATTCTATCCGTTTATCATGGAAAAACAAATATTGTTCTAGGTATTTTAATAAGTATTAATAGTTAATTATAGTCGATTAAATTATTTTTTTTAATAATTTTAATTAATATTTAACAAAGATATTGTTATATCTAATAATTTAATTGAATATAATACCTCGTGTTTTATATTTAGTTGAATATTCTTCTCATATTTTACTGTGATTGGTCAATTCTTACAACTTTAATCATTTACAACTAGGTTTACGCAATTGTAGAATGGACTTACGATTTGTAGAAAATTTAAATAAATATGTAAATGAATTGTCAAATAAAAAGTTCTTTTGAATATCTCTGAAGACACAACTGGCATCTCGTCTCTTTTCTCGATACACGGTATACATGCCTCTCTTTTCATCTCTTGTAGTCTTTTTCCACCAGTTCCTTTCGGGTATATGGCTGATTAAACGCGCAACTATGTAACGTAACGCAAATATACTGGCCTCGGGCTTGCCTTGCCTTTCCTTTTTCGACGTTCCTCATCCCTGACGGTAGCTCGAAGTCGTCCCGTTCTCGATTCCACCTTTCGACTCTCTTTGAATTCCAACCCCGGTCACTTGACGGAAATATTTATCGAGGGTCTCCGACGGGGCTCTCCTCCTCCTCCTCCCTCGTTGCTCTGCTTCGAGCTAGATAGGACGACGACAGAACGAGACGCGGTTCCACGTAGTTCACTCCGATACCTTTCGTCGAAGCTCGACTACTGTTCCCTCTTCGACTATCACGCTCGTTCTCGCTCTCGCGAGTTCTTTGATCCATTTTACAGAGTTTGTTCGGCACGGATTATTTACTCTCTTAATTACATTTCGATTCTATCTCCTCTCGTCTTCTCAACGTTCATTCGTTATACGACTGAATGACTGATTGTCAGTTCGGCCGTGCTTGCTTTTAATGCGTTGGTAGGATCGAGCTATATAAATCCCACAGTATTCTACATCGTAGATATATTTATATTAAGTATATAATCTTCTATTTATAGAAAAAGTATAACAAGGATGATAACTGTTAAAAAATTGGCCTTTATATATTTTTTACCAAATAAAATTTTGAATATGAATAGACAATACACTTCTACGTCTGATATCAATTTCTATGTTCTCTCTCTATGACTAATATTGATATTTTTTTTAATACATATAAGCATGCGAGTGTATAGATTTTTTGTATTAATTTTGGTGAGCGCGTTTCGATATTTTGACAAGATGATGACGTTTTTATATTCTTTGGTTTTCTCTCATCCTTTCTTAGCCCACGACGGCGGAGAATGAAAGCGCCAGGACCTGATTTACATTTCTTTCTCTCGTCGACATAAAAATTCCGCGGCGATAACTTCCTTTGTTCCACCCTCCGTGGTCGCGGGAACGACCGACCCCTGCGGCTCAAGAAGAGGGGAAGGGGGAGCCGTTGTAACCTCGTCTAGTTTCTCGTCCATATTACATTTTTCCATAATTAAAGGCAATACATACCTCTTGGTGGCAGACGCGAATCATCTCTTGTCGTCGGCCACGATGGAGAAATCGAAACTTGTAATATTGGCAAAATAATATTTGTCTAATGTGTAGTTGAGATTGTATATTAACTATTAAACGTAATATAATGTACAGTATACTGTGCTAACTGTTTATATATAAAATGTGAAACTTACAAATTAATAAGAATGTTAAAGAATATGAAATTTTAATATCTTATATTTAAAAATTATTTTTATTATCGTGAACGTGTACGTATGTTAAACATCTACATAGATTATTTAAAAAATGAAAAGTTTTCATATATGAGAAAAAACATTTTATTTTTATTTTTAACATCCTGTTACGTAGTTGTTTAAAATCATTATATATAATGTGCATATAGTCATGTATAAGACAAAATAAAACGACTAAAATAGAAACGATTAATTACATTACTAAATAATATAACATTTTTATATTATTTGAATACATTTTTAATATAATAATTAAAAAACGATGTTTTTATTAATATTGACAACACTAATTACATAATTATTATATTTTTTTATTAGATATGTCCGAAGAAACTATCATACGATCTATCTGCGTATTATATTTGTGTTAATAAAGATTCAAACGCGAACAAACGATGACGCGATAATTTATTAGATTTGAACATTCTCTTCTATACGACATTCTACGCGAACGTAAAATTCAGGGCCTAGTATAAAATACCAATCACCCGAGCAGCTTGATCACTTTTTAAGTTGAGTGATAATTACCATTATATTTTCGCGGAAGTTTTCGCAATCGCACTTGAGAATTACGTCAGAAGCGTCCGGAACGACGATTGAGCGAACCGTAACCATGCGACGTTTCGCAACTTTATACGTTCCTGATAATCTCTCGGAGAGCTCTCGGACGGTTATTCGCGGTGGTCGTCGGGGATTTATGAAATGGCAATAAAATTTATATGACTCGGTGGATCGTTAGGGGTGCAGTTCGCTCGTTCAGATTGATGTCGGTTGTGCCGCGAGTCTGGTCCACTTGCCCGAGGCTACGTTTGTTTCTCCCTGCGATCGTCGCAGAACGATCCACGCTCATTATTAATCCCTTGGAAATTACGACAGTCATTTTACAATCACCGTGTAGAATGTAAAAGAACTAAATTTTCTCTCTGATATATTTTATTGAATCAATTCGGTATTTTGTAGATTAATATAGTAATGCATATTGTGCATTGTATGCTTTTTTTCTTTTAATCGCACAGATTGAGCCTTAGGATTTGCATTGGATATATAAAGTTTAGAATAGAGCGGGGCTATTCCGTCAGTTTCAACTTTAAAGTAATACGAAAATTTACAATAGTAAACAATATCTCTTTACAGTGATGTGCTTATAATTATACATTATACATGGTTGCTCCTTGAAAACACAAGCATAACCTTTAAATAATCAACATGTACTGTTCAGAAACATAAACATTATCACAAAAAATGGACAAAAAAGCCCCGCTCTATCTTATATTATATTTACATTAGTTCTTGTATGTAATCGTACGTTTTATAAGCTCTCATTAATTATTATCATATATTTTATTCAATGCAGTAATTAAGTAATTTAAAGATGTTTTATATATATTTTCAAAATGTTTCCAAATTTACAAAATTATGAAAAAATTACAGATTATTTTAAATCAAGTTTAAAATGAGCGCGAGTGTGACAGCGCACTGGTCTATCACGCCAAAAGTCCCGGGTTCGATTTCAATAGGGAACTAAAATATTTACGCTCATGTCTCCTCTCAGAAAAGGCCATCAACCTCCCGAGAGCACAGAAACATCTTTCGAAAAATCCGCCATTCGGAATCGGCGGATTAAAACTGTAGGTCTCCATATGCTCGTGGCAATTGAATAATCAACGTATGCATCACAAGCATATAAGAGAGGTGTAACACAGCCCAAGGGCCTAATATAAGAAGAAAAAGAAAAAGTTTAAAAATAATACGATAAATTTAGTGACGGTTTACTATGTGGATCACGAGTAATTTTAATAAATTGTAGCATTTTTGCAATCTGTGCTCTAATAAGAACATATGCCATGGAAATATTATATATTACGTATAAAATAAATGATAAAAATCTCAATTTTTTAATATAAGTATACATTATGCATTCAAGATTATTTACGTAGAGTTACATTGCGATGTATGTACTATTGTCCGGTAAATAAACAAAATATTTATTTGTTCTGTATCTTTGTAACTAATCAGTGAATCGCAATGAAACTTTGCATAAATTATTTTGAATATTTAAGGTACTTATAAAAGAAAAATGTAAATTTTTTTTATCATTTCTAAATTTAAGTTTTTGATAAAAACAATAAATAAAATTAACTACAAAAATGTGTTATTAAATGAAAATATAATTTTATTTACACAACTTTCAAATAGTTTATTTGAAGAGTAAAAATTAAACATACTTTCATAAATTTAATTTTCTTTACAGGAATTGTATGTCAAATATATCCTTAACTAAATTATGTAATAAATTTATTTATTGTATATGCAAGTAAGTACATGTGTGTGTGCGAAGAGGATTTATATATTCAAACATAATGCAGATCAATTATTATTAAAATTATGCATAATTATAAAATCAATTAGACGGAATAAATAAATTTATTTATGTATATAAAAGTTGATTATTTTGGAATTTTTAAACGAGTCTATATTTTTACAAGATAAAAATATTTAATTTCAGCTTTTATTAATATGTTATACTATTTAATCTTTAATAAATATAGCCGAAAGAGTTTGCGACGTATCTTATGCATAATCTTGCTTTCCTATCGTTTGAGCTCGAGCAGTGAGAAGCGAAAAAAAGTGCTTCTGATAACTCACTTATGCAGTGAATCACGCGTGTGCTCTGCCGAGCATGATGCCTCGAGGACATGTCTGCTCTACCTGTTGCTCAATTCCCCATCGACGGTAGCAAGTATCGCACGAAGAATTCGACGATCTCTCCTTCTCCACGCTTCCTCCCACCTATCACAACGTGGAAGAATTCGCAAACCGCTAAAGTGACTGCAATGAATTCTCAGAAAATAAAATGATTTTCAGCGACAATAAACAGGCGATATCAATTAATCATAGTGTCACGAATAACCGTGTTGCGTTCGTTTTGTTGCAGGTGGACGATCGAGTCAGATCACCGGGAACATCACGATCATGTCTGACCGTTACTACCATGTCACTTTCCATCTCGCCATCTAGCCCCGAAGAACCTGTTACGCTGTAAGTAATATAATATGTATATAACATAAATTTCAGAGCCGTCTGCTATGTGGTGCTTCAGATGTTGTTATCAAGATGGACAATATCAAATATCTCTATCTGATATCTATCTCTGCTAGAATAGCTCTGCTTTCCTCCTGTTTGTAGATAATAAATTAGGATCGAAGAGACGCGCGAAACGATACATTTTTATTATAGATAAAATGAAATTTATCTTTATATATAACATGATCAAGGTATTTTATAGAACAATATAATGACAATTTATTATTTCTATAATGTAGTAAACTATGCCTAAATGCTCAATTTTTTTAATTTATTAAAATAATGTTGTTTAATTTTTAACGTAAAAATATAACTTAAAAAATGAAACAAACACGACAACACATGAATATTTAAGATATAATCTTTTACTTGAAAAATTATAAGCACTATAGATGTATATTATCGTATATGGCTACATATTGCTCAATAATGACACAACTAAAAAATTGTCATTTTTTAGTTGCTTATCGAAAAAAAACTGAAACATAAAGAAAAAAGAAAAAACATACACTTTAAAAAAACATTTTTTTATTCCTTTATACAAACAGTTATTACGCTAAAATTTCAAAATTAATATTATAAAATTTAATTACTCAAAACATTGAAATTTATTTTCTAGAAAAACTTTGTTTTTTAAATTGCGTTGTTGTAGCAAATAAGCAATATGTGTAACATAAAATATTTTACAAAAGCTTCTAAAAAACATTGAAATTTATATAATACAAAAAAATATTAATTATAATTTGCTACATGCATAACGAAGAATACAGTGATTCATATCTCTATATTGTCTAAAAAAATAAAAAGTCACGATAAATGCAGGGATGAGACCGCGAACCTTGCAGCTTCCTTTCCGCGATCCAAAAAGCCACTCAGGCAAATTAGTCCTGCAATACAGCAATGGTGTTCTCGTATGGTGCTACACCCTCATTATCAGGCGTTTCTTCTCTCTTACTGTCACCAGCTCGGCTTTCCATAGCATCGCATAGATGGTATAGGGGCCACACGGCCAGAAAGATGCACGGGGAGAGAGAGGTGATATTTATGCCAGTTTTTTATTGCGCTTTAGCCCGAGAGAGCAGAATGGAAACAATATGTCACCCGGGTAGGGAAAGCAGGGTGGTAGCAAGATGGGAGAAGGAGGAGGCTGTGCGAACTTCTTGTAGGTGGCCCGACCGGCGGTACCTAACGTTAATACTAACGCCTCCGCCGTGCTAGCGCCCTCCGACCGACGTCATGATTTTAAATGAACAACCCCCATTTCTCCCTTTTAGCTCGAAAACATGGGCGAACGACGGGATTGCCACCGTGCGTTTCGCGATACCGTGCATTAAGCGATTTTTGAATTTGTTTGCATCGTGCAATTATTGCCATTTTAAATTATTCAGCGTAATTGATTGACGCAGCATACAAATAAGAGTATGTACAAATATTTGTAAGCTTTAAGTAGAATAAGTCAAAATAAATTGTCTCGTTCGCACAGTATGAGAAGATTTTAATTTCAATGTAACAATAATCGAAAAAAATAAATAACAGTAATTAAGGTACAATGTTAATTAAAATTTTTGACAATTGCATTTTTTGTACATAAATAATTTGGAAATTTTTTTCAGTAAACGATAATTAGGTAACTCAGCTTTTTTCTGGAGAAATTTTATCATAACTTATATTTAAAAAATACGAAGACGTACAGATGTCGAAGTAAGAAAATGAATTTGTGTAGAGAGAAGACATTTGTGGCGCGTGCATTCTTGCGAGTAAATATAGATCAAACTATATATATATACATATATATAAATAAATCTCCGGTAATCTCCCGCGGCAAGACCGAAATATTCGAGGTTGGACAATTTCCGGTGGTTCTGCTTATCGTTCGGAAGTGCGCGGAAAAGAAAAGGAAAAAAAGGAGAAACGAAAAAAAGGAAAGGAGGGAGGACTCGTTATTCGGGGTCTCAAGAGTCATCGGATAAGTGCATATCGATTTCTCCCTATTGGCGAGGGTCGGGCCGTCGTCGGTAAGATCGAGGCGAATGGGAAAAAAGAAGGCGGTAAAAAGGGCAAAGGCTATAAGTAACGGACCGTCTGGTGGAAAGCGCTCGAGGGCGAACAGTGATTTAGAGAAATTAAAACTTTAATTCATGTTCGGGTTCATGGGGGGTTGTGTCCTCTATCCCCTGTCCTCTTTCCCTTCCTGCCCAACCACTGTTCCACCCTGTGGCATTCTCTGTCCCCGTCGATCGACCGAAATCTCGCTTAGCGCGTAAATTGGCAAACCTAACTAATGCTCCTTTTGCTTTGCTATTCTCGCGGCTCTTCTATATTTTCATATGAATACTAATCTCGTATTACATAAGATTACATGCCACGAACCAATATATTTATTAGAAAATACGTGTGAGCGTGAGGCAATTTATTTAAATAATCCACATTGTTTATCTATTTGTTATTTATGCGATTCTTCAATTGGAACTAAATTATATATATTTCCTATTGACATATTTAAATAACACAAAGAATGTCTTGAATAATGCAATAGAGATGTTATTCAACAAATGTAAAAGCTTTGTTTGTCAATCGGAAATATGTAAGATCGGATGATTTATAACTAGAGGTCAAACGAACAAATGTTTCAGAATCAGTCATACATGTCTGTATAAATATAATTATCATTTTGATTTAAATTGTACATATATTTTACAGCACAATAATGTTGAACCGATCTGTATGGCCGACAAGAGGTGAATAAAAATTCAATATTGCTGAATAAAGGAACACCATGTACTTTACTGCTTATACAATGTATATTCTTGAAGCATTTTCGCTCCAAACTGATATAAATTATCCATAAACTCTCTTCTATAGATATTTTTCCGAAAATATATCGGTGCCCATTTGCTAACTTGTAACATTAATATAGTTAAAGAAACTCATTACTATGAATGCAACTTATGTGAATTGCATTTTCTTCAACTTTGTTGTTAAAAAAAATATCAAGTAGAGTATCTTTAATACAATTTTAATGAAAAATTGTAAATTTTAATTTAATTAAAAATTTAATTTAATTTAATTTATATAAAAAGTAAAATATAATTTAAATAATAATATTTAAATAATATTTAATTATATAAAAATTTTCAATGAAATATGAATTGTAAGAGAAAATGCGCGATATTTAATATATTTTTACTGTCACTTTATGTCTAATATCGTTACTTATAATAGTGAAGAATTCTAAAAAGTAACAAACTCGCAGACAAAAGCATCATGATAAATCTACATTTCGGAAGACGTCCTTACAAACTTTTATGAGCCATGCAGGATACAGAATATGAGGAAAGGACGTACCCTTTATCTTCCTTTCCCTTAGTCTGTTGTCCCTACCACGGTTTCTCTCTTCGTCCATCCTTCTTCTATACTGTCTTCTCTCTCCTCGCCTCTGCGCATCGCGCTTTGGCTTTTAGGGCAACCTCCGCCTCCAATAAATTCCCATCACCAGCTTCCAGGTACGCCTTCGTCGAGTAAATCATACCGTAAGTGAATCCGAATTGAATGCAATGAGTAAATATGGCTCTAGTATAATGAAAGGCAACCACGAATGTCTGGCAAGAACCATGACAATCGATTTCTAATCCATAATATGAAAAACTTTCTCTGTTGTCATCGTCACACTGTGGCTATAATTGCAATTTAAATTTATTCTTGACATCTTACGTGTGGTATATTTATGTGTATATCTTGCTAATGCCATTTTTGAAGAAATTCAAGTTCCTTGTATCTCTATACATACATCAACTATATTATTTTTCTTTATTGCGCGAAGCAAATATGGCCGATTTACGCGTGTTTTCGACGTAGTTTCCGCCCGCATGTATGCGTGAATGCGAGTCAAGGAGCAGCCAGTCGGTGGAAATGCATAAATACATGAGTCGCGGGGCAACGAGCGAAAGAGGGAGACAAGCTTGGCCCGCATATGTAGCGAGCGACTCGTACCTCGTAATAACGTGTGGATAGCGGCTCTCTCGTCGTGAAAATATGGTCTTTCAAAAGCCTGTAGTTTCCCCTCGAAAACGGGCATGGTTTCGCTCGCTGTCGAAAAAGAGCGAGAGGGCACATGAGAAATGACAATCTTATTCCACAACTTCCTGTCGCTAACTCCGTCTCGCTCAACGATTCTGTCTATGGTGTAACTTCCCCTTGTTATCGCGCTGTAGATATAATGATATTTTATTACATACGTTATTATTTTTAGAAATTTATTTCATTATGGTATGATATAATTTTTACAAAATTGTAATTTAATTTGTAATTCGATATCTTATAGATGTATGAAAAATTACGAATCTCTCTCATCGATACTAAATCTTTTGTAATGCAATTGACGGCTTCGCATAGTCGAGGGATTATAACCATTAAATTTTCGTGAACGTGACTCTTGAGATTTTTTCCTAATTCCATTGCGATCGACTCGATTAAAAGTCGAAGGAGACTATAAAGTAACGACTATGAACGACTGCGTCGCAGGAAGCGCAGAAACTGAATATAAGGGGATGACTCTGCAGGCACTAGAGAGGCGAGATTCGCATTCCCGCATTACTGTCACGCGAGTAATTACGCATCGTCGAAAGCAACGGTGCGGTGCGGTGCGGCGCGGCGCGGCGCGGCGGGGTGGAGGAGATGGGTGGAGGTGGATGCAGGGATGAAAGGAGCAGGAGGAGTTAGAAGGGTTGCTGTCGCTGCGCCACTGGCGTCTCCCGGCGTTGCGCGATTCGCAGCCAACGGGAGAAACCAGAGCTAATAAAAGCCCACAATTACCTCCGGTTCGAGCCATTTGTCTTGACGGGCGTCTCATGCCCGATATAATTCACCCTGGCAACAACACATTGTTGCCTAATGAGGTGTAAAACATTCCGAGATATCTGGCTGTCTCGGGCTGCTAGGGCGGTTTCCGTACAGGC